TCGATTGTCCTTTAATTGGAAAAAACTCCCTTGTACCCTCGCGGGTGCGGAAAAAGGAGGTGTGACACCAGGGAGACCTCATCTCCCTCTTCTTCAGAGTCTTCCTCTTCTGCAGCTTTCCTTTTTGTAGAAGAAGAACCCAAAACTATTTCCCGGGATCTTTCTAGAGAGATACGGGTTCCTGAAGGAGTACGGGTTCCCGAGGAAATACGAGAAGTCGCAACTGCTTCAGCAGTAACTCCTCGAGTAGCAAATCCTGACGAAAGGAAGGATAGAAATTAGAGCAATAAAAGAGAATATAGACACGAAAGGCACAAAATATAAATTCTTACCATGAGTCTTTACCTTCCAACCAAAACGGTTAGAAAGTGCTTTCCAAGACCTACCGTCCATCGGTGCGATCTTCAGCAATTTATCTACCCAACTATGGAAGTTGGAAACATCCCCCACAACTCCCATGGTAGCTAAAAAAACAACAAAAGCAAAATTAGAGAAGTTTGGCAAACTTGAAGGAAAAAGGTACGAGAAGGTTAAAAGACTTACGTGCAAAATTCCACTTCTCAGGGAAGGGAACATTATCCTCACCCACTAAACCAACAGTGGGGGCAGCAACAAATCGGGCATACCAACCGCGGTCTTTGTCATCTTCGGGACTCACCAAAACCCTCTTACTCCTAGCTACTAGTGTAAAAACACCATTGCGAAAAAGTCTAGGTGAGTAAAGATGAATCAAGTGGGGGAAAGTAAAAAGAACTTCGCTTTAGTGGCTAAATGCCTTAAACAGGCAACAACCCTCCATATGATCGGACCAATTTGGCCCAAACAGACGTTGAATGATCGGACCAATTTGGCCCAAACAGACGTTGAAGAAACGGCAATATTCGAGAATGACTGGGTCAATCGCTGGTCTGAACCCTAAAGTAAAAGGGTATGTGTAAACAAAAGAAAACCCAGTTAAATAAGAAGTTATTCTCTGATTTGGATTAGGGATAATAATAGGAAAATCGTTACTCCAATGATAGTCCTTACGAACCACAGAAGTCAAAACTTCTGTAATTTGAGTGGGGTAAGTATCAACACGATCTAAAGCGGAAATTTGATTTCTAAGAGATTCCCTATTGTGGTAACAAAATAATTCTGTAGGGACTCTCTTATACTAAAGGCTCGCATAATGGTTTAGAAGGTTCTTTACTCCTAGAAGAAGATTTGTGAGAAAGGGAACCTCTGGTTCTGGAAGAAGGACCAGAACTAGAAGAAGGCATAGACGAACCACCTCGAATAGATCCTAAGCTACGAAGCCTACCTCCCCTTCTATGCCTAACATGGGCATTGGGGAAAGAATCAACAATGGAGACTTCTCGAGAGTGAGGGTTTAGTGAAGACATAGTGAAGAGGAATGATGTAAAGAAGAAGTAAACAGAGAATTGAGAAATTAAATGTTCAATAAAACTTTATGAGGTAAAAGACAAGGGAAGAAGTTATATTTATATTAATAATCGACCGCCAAAGGTAAAAGTGCAGTGAGGGAAGGATCACAGTTATGATAACTGGCACTTCGTAAATAGTGGAACCATAAAAACCTTGAAAAAGGGCTGCAAAAACTGCAGAACCAATGGAAAATTGATACGTGTACAGAGTATTAAATGGAAGTGACAATTGAAGCATCAATTTTGTCATAGCATTAATGGTGACAAAAATTCTCGTTTTAATGAAATTCACTTCCCAAATATTCAACTGATGAATAAATGGAAAGTGGGGGGACTATCTGTATTGGGAAAAATTACATTTATATAAAGATGATGTGTCGTGACTCGTGGACTGGTCAAATAGTCAAAGAATTATAATTAGTCAAGAGGCACGCGCAACAATAGAAACGAGCAAGAGGCACGGGTGGCCATATCTATTTAAGTCATTTATATCCAAGAATAAAAAAGGAATGGATCTGACCATAGTAAAGAGCGCAGATACAGAATTTGACAGGCATTAAATACTGGATACGTTAGAGAAATTTGTATTGATTATAATGATTATGTAACGTAGCATTCAATGTCTTTAATTATTCATAATAGCCTCATTATGATTTGGGGAAAACGCATATCTTCAAGATACCTATAAAAGGGAGGTATCTGATCAATTGTAGGGACAAAAGACATTATCGGAATATACTTTGATTTACTTGTTTTTTCTCCTGATTACACTCTAATTATCCCAAATTACTTTCCTTTGCATATTCTTTTGATTATCAATAACCCGTGTTCTTCTAAATTCTAGCTTTGACTGAAATTCTATTTTTTGGTTAAACAAAAGGTATAATTAAATCACTTAATTGTAGGCATTAATAATGGATTGAGAGCCTTTTAAGGTGGAATGTATATATTTTGTAAACAAAACTTGTGTAGGTCGGGTAAATAACAAAATATAGATAATTTTGATAATAAAGTTTCAAATAGTGTATAAGAATGAAAAAATACCTAAATAATAAAGCAAACGGCCGTTACCTTCAAAGTGTTTTCTAAAATCACATATATTCACGTGCACCCTTAATGTATTGAATGGAAAAAAAAACAAACTTATGCAATCAAGACACTTTCTTTTTATATAAATATTTATCTTCTAACTACGATTAAGTTTTTCTATAACCGATAATGAAAAATTATTTGTACTATCAAATCACATAAAAATACTATAATTATAGGTGAACCGCATATAATAAGTATATATTAGCTACTTAAAAATTAAGGTAAGTGACATATTGTTACCATACATAGATAATATTAAAATTATTTACATTACATATAAAGTTAAATCCCGAGTTTAATTTTTTTACAGTACATATGCATCTATGATAAAATGCATATTAACCACCTAGTATAAGATTGACATATCACGGTAAGTTAATATACGGTGGGTAAATATTGCTCATTTTTGGGCTTCACGCCCTCCTTGTTTAGCATCTTCTTTTAAGTTTTAACCTCCACACCGCCAGCCACTCTGTCAACAGTTTGGAGTCGTAAAATCTGAGCAAAGCTAACAACTAGTTGCAGTTATATCATCACAACGTGCCACGGCCCCATTCTCCTCCCCCATACCAATCTTCTACATACTCTCACTTTCCTAAACCCTACACTTCGTATATCCTTTCCTCTCTCTCTTTCTCCATTTCTCTGTTTAGTATGTTTCTCTAATCGCTGGTGCATAAACAAACAAACAAACAAGAATGGCGGAAAATTCATCTACAGAAGACTTAATCTGTTTACATGGAGATTTGGAGCTTCACATCGTTCAAGCGCGTCATTTACCCAACATGGACTTAACTTCCGAGCGTCTTCGCCGTTGCTTCACCGCCTGTGATGTCTGCCGGAATCCTCCGACTGACTCCACCGCCGCCGACCACGACGGAGACTATGACGTTCCCAATGTAAAGAAAAACCCCGATCAAAAAATCCATCACCGGAGAATAATCACTAGCGACCCTTACGTCACTGTGTCGGCACCTCACACTGCCCTCGCCCGTACACGTGTCTTACCCAACTCCCAAAACCCTGTTTGGGATGAACATTTTCATATCCCTTTAGCACACCCTATCGACTGCTTAGAATTTCGCGTTAAAGACGATGACGTTTTCGGTGCTCAAGTTATGGGTAAGGTTAGAATTCCGGCCGAAAAAATCGCCACCGGTGAGATTATTTCCGGCTGGTTTTCCGTTATTGGCGCTTCAGGAAAACCTCCTAAACCTAACACGGCTCTTCAGCTATGGATGAAATTCGTTCCATATGATACAAACCCATTGTACAAGCAAGGTATTGCTTCAGATCCTCAACATTTAGGTGTAAGGAATACGTATTTTCCGTTGAGGAAAGGGAGCTCAGTGAAGCTGTACCAAGATGCTCATATAAGCAATAGTTTTAAGCTTCCGGAAATTGAGTTGGAAAATAATAGAGTGTATGAAAACAATAGATGTTGGGAAGATATATGCTATGCAATTTCAGAGGCCCATCACTTGGTTTACATAGTTGGGTGGTCTGTTTTTCACAAGATCAAATTGATTCGAGAGCCCACTAGGCCATTGCCGCGTGGCGGTGACTTGACACTTGGTGAATTGCTTAAATATAAGTCCCAAGAAGGGGTGCGCGTTCTGTTATTAGTTTGGGATGATAAAACTTCCCATGATAAGTTCTTTATTAACACGGTATGCATCTTTTTAACTGTTACTTTTTGGANAATTAACACGGTATGCATCTTTTGAACTGTTACTTTTAGGATATTTTCTTGGCTGCTGTTTTAAGTATTTGTTTTGATAGTGGTAAGATAAGAATATTGTCTTAGTCTTGCTTGTTGCTACTATTATTTTAATGGTGTGCTCAGTGTATATTATAATGATGAATTGTCATTTCTTCCAAGCTTTCGAATGAGTGCAACATTAGTTGTAGTTCTTGTTTGTCAATCTCACAATAGTTTGAGATGGGGCTTGATGCAGGCGGGAGTAATGGGAACTCACGATGAGGAGACCAAGAAGTTCTTTAAGCATTCCTCTGTGATCTGTGTTTTGTCGCCACGTTACGCTAGCAGTAAGCTTAGCATTATCAAGCAACAGGTTAACTTTCATAACCACTTGCTCATTTGTTAGATTTAATGTACCCTGACATCGTTTGATTGCTGACTTCTCAAGTACCTGTGAAGTTATTGCCTCTTAAACCATTTCATTTCAATAGTTTGCATTCAGAATCAGGCATTCGATATGACGGAGAGTGTTCTTTTTGATGAATTGATAGAAAATATTCTTGTAAGTTTGTGGAAGAAGATAGGGATCAAGGAAGAGCTGAAATGGTTCAGCAGAACAGCATAATAGATGAATGTTTGCCTTGTGTTGCTTGACACAATATTGTCCTGAATGAGTGGACTAAAGAAATATAGTTCTTCTAAAGCAGCAGAACTTGAGGTTTTGATAGGCTGTGTGAAGCTAAATTTTGTTTGGATTGCATAAATGTTCTCTTCTGAGAGGCCCTTCAATGTTTTACAACAACAACAACAAAAAACCCAATATGTTCCCACCAGGTGGGGTCTGGGAGGGTAGTCTGTACGCAGACCTTACCACTACCTAAAAGGTAGAGAGGCTGTTTCCAATAGACCCTCGGATCAGGAAGGGTAATAAGAAGA